TCTCTCTCTCTCTCTCTCTCTCTCTCTCTCTCTCTCTCTCTCTCTCTCTCTCTCTGTCTCTGTGTGTGCATGTGTGGTATAAGTAAATATCATGGCAGACATGCACCCCAGCTGTGGTGCAGCAATTCACGTTAGTCTCTAAATAGAAAAATATTACAGTCAACTGAAAAAAGGCTTTTCGAGCCAGTTGAAATGTTCTTCTTAACCCAGTACAGGGAGAAAACAAAAACAATTTTGACTCATCCACACAAAAAATGCATTTATTGAATGGTTTGAAATTGACAGTAGATTTTATACTAAAGTATTCTAATAAAATTAAGAATTTCTTTTGTAATGAGTTGCTTGTGGATTACCACTTAATATTTCAACCTACCCTACTTTATTTGGAAATATGTTAAGTTTGTATTAGTTATATCAATTTCTAATAAATTAGTTATGTCAGTTAACATTTTTAGGATTGCGGTATAAGATGCAGGCATTGTACCCGTTATAATTATAATCTTACTTTAACATGGGTAACATGAACATTTTATACACTTAATGGGACAGTGATATTCATAGTTGTTCACGAATAAGTCACATAGAATCAAATAGGATTTGCTCCCTGTTAAATTGGGATTGGAATCCAATTTAACACTTTATTGACAATAGTTCCAGTTTGCATAATTAACTTTTTTTTAAAAAAATATATTTAATTATTCAACTTAACAGAAAAAAACCCCTTAAAGTTTAGCTATTCATCTTTTTTGCAAAGATTAAACTAGATATTTGCTAACATCCCAGTGTTTTTAATCTAGTTTCTTCAAAACTGTGCTACATCTTTTCAATGTTGTCAACTTCTTTTTAGAAAGTAGATTATTGATGCATATATATATGTGTGTGTGTGCGTGTGTTTGTGTGTGTGTGTGTATATGTGTGTGTATATATATATATGTATGTATGTATGTATGTATGTATGTGTATATATATATATATATATGCATATGTATATATATGATTATGTATATTTAAAAACAAATGAGTGTTGTGATTATGTATAATTCCTGGATGAACTCCATGATGAACTCACTAAATTAGATTAATAGCTATTTACCTTCATCAGGAGTAAGTTTTCATGTCCTAAAGCAACAAATACTCTGTGCTTGTTTATTTTTGTTCCAGAAATCAGGACCATCCTTAGTAATATTTGCCCAGTATTTTTTCTCTTCTCTTTCCAAGACTAGAGGCAGTTGTGGGAAAGCTTAGATTAAGGTATACAGTCACATATTAAAAGGTGTGATTTGGGTCTGAGCCATGATGCGGCACAGAAGGTATTTAAATCTTGCCTCAAGGAATGGCCCTGATTCAAATCACATGCAGACACAAGCTGCTATGACCCATTCAGGAAAAATATCTTCCTAGTGGCTTGGAGAAATACTCTGGATTGGAATGATGGAACTAGGAATTATATATCTGCATAATGGGTGCCATATCAATTGATTGTATGCCGGCTCGTTGTAATAAAATCAGTCATTGGTTGAAAAGATCCATTTTCTTTAAAACTAACTTTTAAAAGGCTACTTTGAACGTGTTGTTAGTTTTTAAAATTTTCCATTGACTTGAGTCAGATGCAGTAATGACTCAACAGTATTTATATTATGTTCAGAAGGAAATATTTTTCATCTAGAGTGTGCTTTTCCAAACCTAGACAGTTACCTTGTTACTTAATTTAATACATCAAGAATGTGGGAATCTAAGCTTTTTTTTTTAATTTTATGTTTAAATCTTCAAACCCTGCTTGTCTTATCCCTAAGACTTGGCCAACTCCAATTCCATTGGCTATGCTGGGAATGGGTTGTTTAAAGGAGTTTTCTATAGGATTCCAAAGGTAAAACCTCCTTCAAGCTGAACATGACTATGGTGATTTCACACACAAATCCTTGCAATTTTCTTGACAACTAAAGCATCAATCAAAATTCCTTGGGATGAATTATATAAAATGGTTAGTGCTGCATTATGATACACTGATAAGCAAATATTAGAGTTTCTATCTTTCTCTGTCAGCCTTTTTCATCATACTTTAGTCTTCTTGACTTCTAATACACTATTATCTGTTCTATACACATTCTCTGTTTATTTGTGGCCATCACATCTTTTGCTTTCCCAGATTTTATAGTTTGATAAAACAAATATTATTGTACATTATAAATCCCTAATGGATTTCTCATTGCATATATTCATTGTATGTGTATCATGAGGAGGTGAACAATACTGGAATAGTTGAATCTTCTACATTTATATTCCAGATACACATATGGTACTTGATAACTTGGGAGAACATAACAAAGTTTATTGCCAAAATCATCATTTATAAATGGAAAAATTATAAAGAATATTTATATTTTATTTAAAAAGCTATAGTGCACCCTTATAAAATGAAAAAAAAAGTGAAATGAAAAGTATAATGGAATGAATTTAAGTGCTGGTATTGGAAGAGTTAAAGCCTTTGACCACTCTTCAGTGAAAGATAATTCAAATTATATTAGCTGGGTTCTATAAGGTTTTTTTTTAGCAACTCATCTTAGTTGTTTAAGTAAACTTTTCCATACATTATAATAGTATAATGGCTGCATTAGTATTAGTACCACCTATTGCTTTATCATGGTTCAAATCATAGAGGCAAAATTGTTTCAGATATATTATTTTATGTAAGATCAAAAAGTTAAATATACTTGCTTTTTTCCCTGTATGCATTTATTAACTTGATCAGTTATAAACTAGAAAGATTATTTAAAATTATTAATAGAAACAAAACACTAAAACATTTTACAAAGGAAAAAAACTAGGTGGGGGCAAGGGAGGAAAGAAACTGTTTTAATGGTATAATGAGGCCATCTTCCAAAGACTTGTTTTGTGTAAGTCTTGCTTTGACCTTTCACTTTGCTCAGGAGCCCAACGCTTCATTTTTCACATTCTTCCAATTACGTTAACGCTTCAAGCATTTCTGACTCCTAGTCAGCTAGCAACACCAGGCATAACTCAACACAGTGAGTTTTTCCTCCTCTCTGTAGATTCATTAACAGGTCACTGAGGTCCCAACTGAAATTTAAAACTGGCTGGTTCTGTTGGGTTAGTTGAGTTATGGAAGAGAGATAGCAGAAAAAGACTGTAAGAAGGGGAGAAGAAAGGAATACTCCGAGATTTTGCTAGGCAGTACTATATATGCATAAAATCCAAATCAATCTTTCAAAAGGTATGTGCAGCTTTATTATCCAACTAATTGTTTGGTAGAGAATATGTATGTCTTAAGGGCAATAGATTATCCTTTCCCTATATAAAATAAAGTAAAATGTCATTGCAAAATCACTGCTTAAGATATTCTGTGTATACTGTGGTGATGGTTATGTTTTCCCTTAGATTATTATGTCCTTTATTGGGTACTTTAGATGTGACCAAGTAAGAGTTATATATGAAAATATAAAATCAGTCTGATTATACCTTTAAAATTGTGTGGACTTTCCATGTGCAAAGTCATTAAATAATACTTGCTATATGCTTGATGATATAAAGATATAATAAGTACTCAATCTTCTAGTAGTTTTGTGCTCAGAAGGCCTCTCAAGATTTACTAGGTTTTAAAAATACTTAAGAGCTATTCTCCTAGACCCTCTATTCCCCTTTCAGAATCTGACACATCTTTATTATGTTTAAAACAAGAAATACAGTAATTGGAAAGCAACATTTTCTCCTGATTCAGTAAGGGATAGCCACATGTGGAAGAAAACACTGGTATTCACAATGAGTATGATAATAGATAAGCATCTGGCTGTGTACTTGCACCACAATATGTCTATTATTATCATAGATAGGATGAAATTTGATGTACAGATCAGTCCTTTAAACTCCCATTTATTTTGTTCCAACCAATGTCACTGAAGTTTCCTTAGGTAATGATGAAAAAATTCTAATTACCAAATCTGAGATGAATAGAAATAGAAAATTAAATTAGCCATATGAACACAATTATTGCCTTCTACTGTAAAGACTGATTGTTGAAACATTGTTTCAACAAGCTGAAGCAAAATAGTTAACTGATCCATTTTGTAGCTACTTCATTCAGTAGTTAGTTCACATCGCAGATTTTTCTTGTATGTAGATTTTTAAAAATTGTTTTCTTCATTTTTATTCCCCCATCTAGTGATATAGGACAAGTATGAATAAAATCTTTTAATAAATGAATTCAGATTATTACCGCTGACTGCTAGATATTTCAAGAGGCAGAGTTTTTCCATGTCCAATGTTTATCTTAGGTGGCTAAATGAGGTGTTTGATTTTTTAGCCTAATTTGTTTTGAGGGAAGAATTAGCTTTTCCAAATTTGAAGGGTTTGGTTCTTTTCTAAAGTTGGAGCTAGGAAATGTGTTCTCCTACTAATATTGGTTCTGATAAAATTATTCTATTCTAATTCGACAGGGATTTCTTCGATTTAGAAAAGTCCTTGGCATATAGGCCATCAAATCAGGATAGAAGAATGATGTTAAGAAATATAAAAGTAACAGAACAGTTGTGTAGGTGTTAAAAGCAGCATATGACTGAAAATTCAACCCAAATATGAAATTGCATAAAGGTAAAGATTTCCCCTGTC